TGCTGCGTTCCCTCTGTGTTTTTCTTTCTCTTCCCGGATTTCTCAGCCTCCTTTTGGGCCGGATTCTTTTGGGATCCTCCCTGGTGGGGAGCCCTGATCATCTCAGCTTTGAAAGAAACTCCCCAGCTCGTTAGGATCTTGTTTCTTGTGTTAATTAGAAAGAATTGTGTTAATTAGAAAGTCATCACAAAACACCACAGGTCTCTCCAGCCTTTCTGCACAACTTTAAATCTTTTTAATCTGATTCATTTCTTCCTTCTGATGGTACAACAAAGCCAAAACGGCCCCAAATTACACGGCTCATTTATCTTTACACCCGTTTTTAGCCAATTAACAATAAACACGTTAATTATCCTCACACTTGCAGCTTTTTCTGACTTTAACAGTTGTAACTTTTTCACCCAGGGATTTAGGAAAACTTTATTTTACACACATTTTCAGCTTTCTCTGCCTGACGGTAACAGTTGTTCTCATGCCTCGCCACGCGATCACGCCCATGAATTTCACGTTGTGTGAAATTCAGTGTTTGGGTGTCCGAGTTCAGGATCAGAAGGGAGGGCACACACTGTGTCACACACTCCATCCCGTGTCCCTGTCACCAGTGTCACCCTGTCCTGCCACCAGTGTCACCCTGTCCCAGCCCTGCCACCAGTGTCCCCCTGTCCCTGTCCTGCCACCAGTGTCTCCCTGTCCCTGTCTCCAGTGTCACCCTGTCCCAGCCCTGCCACCAGTGTCCCCCTGTCCCTGTCCTGCCACCAGTGTCTCCCTGTCCCTGTCTCCAGTGTCACCCTGTCCCAGCCCTGCCACCAGTGTCCCCCTGTCCCTGTCCTGCCACCAGTGTCTCCCTGTCCCTGTCTCCAGTGTCACCCTGTCCCAGCCCTGCCACCAGTGTCCCCCTGTCCCTGTCCTGCCACCAGTGTCTCCCTGTCCCTGTCTCCAGTGTCACCCTGTCCCAGCCCTGCCACCAGTGTCCCCCTGTCCCTGTCCTGCCACCAGTGTCTCCCTGTCCCTGTCTCCAGTGTCACCCTGTCCCAGCCCTGCCACCAGTGTCCCCCTGTCCCTGTCCTGCCACCAGTGTCTCCCTGTCCCTGTCTCCAGTGTCACCCTGTCCCAGCCCTGCCACCAGTGTCCCCCTGTCCCTGTCCTGCCACCAGTGTCTCCCTGTCCCTGTCTCCAGTGTCACCCTGTCCCAGCCCTGCCACCAGTGTCCCCCTGTCCCTGTCCTGCCACCAGTGTCTCCCTGTCCCTGTCTCCAGTGTCACCCTGTCCCAGCCCTGCCACCAGTGTCCCCCTGTCCCTGTCCTGCCACCAGTGTCTCCCTGTCCCTGTCTCCAGTGTCACCCTGTCCCAGCCCTGCCACCAGTGTCCCCCTGTCCCTGTCCTGCCACCAGTGTCTCCCTGTCCCTGTCTCCAGTGTCACCCTGTCCCAGCCCTGCCACCAGTGTCCCCCTGTCCCTGTCCTGCCACCAGTGTCTCCCTGTCCCTGTCTCCAGTGTCACCCTGTCCCAGCCCTGCCACCAGTGTCCCCCTGTCCCTGTCCTGCCACCAGTGTCTCCCTGTCCCTGTCTCCAGTGTCACCCTGTCCCAGCCCTGCCACCAGTGTCCCCCTGTCCCTGTCCTGCCACCAGTGTCTCCCTGTCCCTGTCTCCAGTGTCACCCTGTCCCAGCCCTGCCACCAGTGTCCCCCTGTCCCTGTCCTGCCACCAGTGTCTCCCTGTCCCTGTCTCCAGTGTCACCCTGTCCCAGCCCTGCCACCAGTGTCCCCCTGTCCCTGTCCTGCCACCAGTGTCTCCCTGTCCCTGTCTCCAGTGTCACCCTGTCCCAGCCCTGCCACCAGTGTCCCCCTGTCCCTGTCCTGCCACCAGTGTCTCCCTGTCCCTGTCTCCAGTGTCACCCTGTCCCAGCCCTGCCACCAGTGTCCCCCTGTCCCTGTCCTGCCACCAGTGTCTCCCTGTCCCTGTCTCCAGTGTCACCCTGTCCCAGCCCTGCCACCAGTGTCCCCCTGTCCCTGTCCTGCCACCAGTGTCTCCCTGTCCCTGTCTCCAGTGTCACCCTGTCCCAGCCCTGCCACCAGTGTCCCCCTGTCCCTGTCCTGCCACCAGTGTCTCCCTGTCCCTGTCTCCAGTGTCACCCTGTCCCAGCCCTGCCACCAGTGTCCCCCTGTCCCTGTCCTGCCACCAGTGTCTCCCTGTCCCTGTCTCCAGTGTCACCCTGTCCCAGCCCTGCCACCAGTGTCCCCCTGTCCCTGTCCTGCCACCAGTGTCTCCCTGTCCCTGTCTCCAGTGTCACCCTGTCCCAGCCCTGCCACCAGTGTCCCCCTGTCCCTGTCCTGCCACCAGTGTCTCCCTGTCCCTGTCTCCAGTGTCACCCTGTCCCAGCCCTGCCACCAGTGTCCCCCTGTCCCTGTCCTGCCACCAGTGTCTCCCTGTCCCTGTCCTGACACCAGTGTCACCCTGTCCCTGTCCCCAGAGCGTCAGGGGGGTGATCGAGTGCCTCAAGATCATCACCAGGGCCAAGTCCCAGCGCATCGCCAAGTTCGCCTTCGACTACGCCACCAAGAAGGGCCGGGCCAAGGTGACAGCTGTGCACAAAGCCAACATCATGTGAGTGGCACTGTCCCCTCCCTGTCCCCTCCCTGTCCCCTCCGTGTCGCCTCCCTGTCACCGCGGTGGCGGGAGGGGGTTTGGAGTGGGGGAACGAGGTTTGGGTGGGGTTTTGGGAAGGGGTTCTGGGTTGGGATGGAGTTATCCCGGATAAAGGGTGTGGTCATCCTGAAAATGGCAGAGTTTGGGAAGGTTTGGGAGTTTGGGAATGAGGGGGTGAGGTCAGGGATGCTGGGAGAGCTGGGAATGTTCCCCTGGAGAAGGGAGAAATGCAGGGAATGCTGAGAGTCCCTGCAGGGGCTCCAGGAGAGCTGGAGAGGGACTGGGGCCAAGGGCTGCAGGGACAGGAGCCAGGGAATGGCTTCCACTGGGAAAGGGGAGATTGGGCTGGGATCTTGGCAAGGAATTCCTGCCTGGGCTGCAATTCCCAGATTTGCTGGGGCTGATCCTGGATCCCTGGGAATGCCCAAGGCCGGGTTGGGATGGATTTGGATCCATTGGGATGGTGGGAGCTGTCCCTGCCCACGGATGGGGTTGGAATTGCTGGGATTTAAGGTCCCTTCCAAAGCAAAAAAATCTGGGATTTGGGAGCCCCTCTGCTCTGGGAGAGCTGGGAATGTTCCCCTGGAGAAGGGAAAAATCCAGGGAATCCTCAGAGTCCCTAAAGGAGCTCCAGGAGAGCTGGAATTTGGGAAAGGGCTGCAGGGACAGGAGCCAGGGAATGGCTTCCACTGGGAAAGGGGAGATTGGGCTGGGATCTTGGCAAGGAATTCCCAGATTTCCTGTGGATCCCTGGGAGCGCCCAAGGCCGGGCTGGACTTTGGGGTTGGATCCAGCTGGGGTAATGGGAGCTGTCCCTGCCCGTGGAATCGGGAATGTTCAAGGTTCCTCTCCACACAAAGCATTCCCTGATTCTGGGATCTGTGGGTGAGGGACACCCGGATTTCCCTGGGATTTGGGGCTTTTCCCTCGCTCTGCTCCCAGCCAGGAGCCAGCAGGACCCTGGGGCTGCTGCTGATCCATGAATCCGATATTCCCATCACAACCTCTGCCTGTGGGACCATTCCTGCAGAATCCCAGACTGCGGGACCAGCACTGGCACAGAGCAGGGAGAGGGTGGGGAGGGCGGGATGAGGAGCCCCAGGCGGGCTCAGAGGTCCCAGTTCCTGGAGGATTTCCCTGCTCCCGGGGTTCCCTTGGCAGGAAGCTGGGGGATGGGCTGTTCCTGCAGTGCTGCAAGGAGGTGGCTGAGCTCTACCCCAAGATCAAATTCGACACCATGATCATCGACAACTGCTGCATGCAGGTCAGCCACAGCCCCTGCACAGCCATAAAAACTCCCTTTATATCCATAAAAACCCCCCTTTATATCCATAAAAACTCCCCTTTATATCCCTAAAAAATCCCCTTTATACCCCTAAAATCCCCCCTTCACATCCCTAAAATCCCTTCACACCCCTGAAATCCCCCCTCCACATCCCTAAAATCCCTTCACACCCCTGAAATCCCCCCTCCACATCCCTAAAATCCCTTCACACCCCTGAAATCCCCCCTCCACATCCCTAAAATCCCTTCACACCCCTGAAATCCCCCCTCCACATCCCTAAAATCCCTTCACACCCCTGAAATCCCCCCTCCACATCCCTAAAATCCCTTCACACCCCTAAAATCCCCCCTTCACATCCCTAAAATCCTTTCACATCCCTAAAATCAGCCCTTCACATCCCTAAAAACTCCTTCACATCCCTAAAATCCCTTCACATCCCTAAAATCCCCCCTCCACATCCCTAAAATCCCTTCACACCCCTGAAATCCCCCCTCCACACCCCTAAAATCCCTCCACATCCCTAAAATCCCCCCTCCACACCCCTGAAATCCCCCCTTGAACCCCTCACAGCTCCCCCAGAGCCCTCCCTGCTGCTCCAGGCGGTTCCGAGCGTGGAACCCCTGGAAGGCTCTGGACACCCCTGGCCTCTCCTCCAGCCCCACCCCCCCTTCCCCCGGCATTCCCAGCATTCCCAACATTCCCAGCATTCCCAACATTCCCGTTCCAGCTGGTGCAGAATCCCTACCAGTTCGACGTCCTGGTGATGCCCAACCTCTACGGGAACATCGTGGACAACCTGGCGGCGGGGCTGGTGGGCGGCGCCGGCGTCGTGCCCGGCGAGAGCTACAGCGCCGAGTACGCCGTCTTCGAGCTGGTGAGACAGATGGGGAATTGGCATTCCAGAGGGGAATTACCCCTAAAATCCCCCAGGAATTCCAGAGGGGGAGGAATTCCAGAGGGAGAATTCCCGAGGAAGGATGGAGGGGTGACGCCGTCGCCGTGTCCCGCAGGGAGCCCGGCACCCCTTCGCCCAAGCCGTGGGCAGGAACATCGCCAACCCCACGGCCATGCTGCTGTCGGCCTCCAACATGCTGCGGCACCTCAAGTACGTGCTGGGACCTCGGGGGGGGGTTTGGGGGGGATTCTGGGGGGCTGAACCCCCAATTCCCCCTCTTTTCCAGCCTGGAATACCACTCCAACATGATCTCGGACGCCGTGAAGAAAGTGATCAAGGGTGGAAAAGTGAGCGCGGGGCAGCGGGGTGGGGTTGGTGGTGCTGGTGTCACTTCTGGGGCTCCTCCCTGCAGCTGGAATTCTGGGGCTCCTTCCTGCAGCTGGAATTCTGGCTCCTCTTTCCAGCTGGAATTCTGGGGCTCCTCCCTGCAGCTGGAATTCTGGGGCTCCTCCCTGCAGCTGGAATTCTGGCTTCTCCCTGCAGCTGGAATTCTGGCTCCTCTCCTCCCTGCAGCTGGAATCCCGTGCCCACG